AGTGACGCTGAAAAACTAGTTCATGCATTTATTACTTCCAGGCTGGACGACTGTAATTCATTATTATCAGGAAGTCCTAAAAACTCCCTGAAAAGCCTTCAGCTGATCCAAAATGCTGCAGCAAGAGTCCTGACAGGGACTAGAAAGAGAGAGCAGATTTCTCCTGTTTTGGCTTCCTGTTAAACCCAGAACATTGTTTTTATCATTGGTGTCCATTTAAGCAGAAATCTGTCCGTTTTGTAGTCCTGTGGTAATTTTTTCCACTCCTTTATCCTGGGATATTTTTCATCCATGCAGCTGTTATTGTTTTTTTCTTTCTTTACAGATTTATCAGATTCTCTGTGACTTTAGTCCATTATATAAAGGAGCAGCTCTAACATCTGTCAAATGTCTTTTTTGACATACTGTCAGAAATTAAGCAACAGAGGACAAAAAGTATTCATACAATTCCTGATTCCTCACAAACTCGTACAAACAGGTGTGAACAGGGCAGGACAGTGTGAGCGTCTTTGTTATTTTATCTGCACGAATAAGGAGAAAATTATAAAACATTAATCTTTTCCACCTGCATCGTAAGTACAGGTGTGTGGTTCATGTGCTTAAACTGCTCTCTGTGTGACCTTTAATGCCACACACAGGTATGTTAGCGGGCTAGCTGTGCCTGAGCCAAGAGCTTTAGCTCCTCCTCATCCTCACTCTTCTTCTATGGTGATCAGCTGGTCAGCCACTGCAGGATCAGAGCGACTCACCTCTACATCACTTCCTGCTGGTCGGATGGTATTGATCACTGATCAGGTTTCTTCTTGTTTGTGATGAGCTACATGCTAACAGCCTGTGCTGCAGATCAATAACCAGAGAAACTAATGACGAGAGGAAGCGTCACAAACAAACCCCATCACAGTGACCGTGTTTGTTTCAGGACAGAAGCTTTTTAAATAAAGTTAGATTGAATTTGCTGACGGTGGACGATCCTCCACAGTGAGGGAGAAATTAAATCACTGATGTGAGCCTGATACACACCTGTTACCATGGCAATAACCGTGTTGATTCACTCATGTCTCTGTACTTTAATGTGTCAGCTGATCTTAATGCAAACAATTCAGATGGAAAGTGTTTGAAGTATTTATGTTTGTTTTACACAAAGTACAAGTACTATGAAACAGTACTGGAGTAAAAGTTACAGTACAGAGGGCCAATCATGTTTCAGAAAACTGCTGATCCTGAACAGGAAGCAGACAAAGTCCAGTCAGTCAACATCCACCAATCACAGTCAGACATTCAGCTCTCTGAAGAGTTTGTCCAGACGGCTGGCTGTGCTGCAAAAACACCCACAGCAGATCTGTACAGTCGTTCTGGGACGGTATATCATGCTCATGTCCCTGTGCATGAGCATGAGCATGCGCATGCTCATGCTCATGGGCATGTCCCTGTGCATGTACCAGTCCATGTCCCTGTGCATGTGCATGTGCCTTGTCTTCATTTGCTCCCTTTCCTCACTCAGCCAGTTTATTCCCGTAGACCGTACATATAGGTCCAAGTGTTCTCCTCTCTTCTCTGAGATGATGTTCTCTACATGATGGAGGAACTCTCTGACCTGCTTTCTGTTTCCTTTCTGATTATTGTCAAACACACAGAATCTGCCACAACTCACGGAGACCAGTGCAGACACACAGCTGTTAGACTGGATCATCTGATCAATGGACCGACCTCTCAGCTCATCTCCGTGAGTGAAGAGCACCATGGAGAAGTTACTAGGATGATTATAAAACATTTTTATGAGAGCGGTGAGGAGCGCAGAGTCTTCCCTGGACATCCTGCCTATCCTGACCACGAACACCACGGCGTGAGGTCCTGGATCAGACTGTTTTCTAATCATCCCGAGTCGTTTTTCCAGCTGATCTTCATCTGAGTCTCTGGCTGTGAATCCTGGAGTGTCGACCACGGTGATCCAACAGCCCTCCACTGCTGCTGACCCAGAGACCACCTCAGCTGGGACCGGTTCAAACCCACATCCTGTCGGGAACCGCTCCGATCCCAGGATGGTGTTTCCTGCTGAGCTCCGCCCTCCTCCAGACAGACCAATCAGAATGACTCTCCTGTCCACCAGTGTGAGAGACGCCATGAGACGATCAGCTGGAAGAGAAACACGCTGATGTTAAACTGCAGCCACGATGAAGGACCTGAGAGCTTAAAGCGCCCTCTGCTGGACAGCAGCAGAGACACAGCAGAGCGTTCAGCCGAGGAGCAGTGAGTGAAACCCCGTCCAAGCTAACGTGGAGCTTCAGGCAGGAGCAGCTCAGTGAATAATTACATGTGAGGGTGTGTTTGTGCTGGAGCTGTGCGATATGACCAAACTCTTACATCCCGACACATATCTATCGTCCCGACAACGATATTAATCACAAAATTTACATTTCTGTAAATTCAGTGAATCTCGATCAGCTCGACCTGTGTGAAGTGTTTCCAGCTGGGCGTCGTGGAGTCGAGTGTTTTGACCGATGCATGAAACTAGACTTTTTTAGAAATATGTTGGAACGGCCGCCATTTTCTTTGTATTTATCACGTGGCGTGCTGCGGGGAAAAGCCTGTTCTAACGTTTGAGTCTAAGGTGCATCTGGAGCACCTGCCGGCTCTGTTTGCTTCTCTGTGAACTCTCTCCACACTCTGTCACGTGACTCTGGCGTCGGTGGTAGCAGAGGTCGTGTGAGTCTGAGGTGAGGCCGCTTTGCTGCATCGTTTGCATCGTACAGTTTTATGGGCCGTGTCAGACTTTGGACTGGTCCTTCTGTTTGGAGCTACCTGGTAGCTGGGATTCTCTGTGCCGTGGTGACCATCCAAACCATGAAAAATATTGAGTGAACAGTGGATTTTGTGACACCACGAAACAAATGGTGGTGTGTAATATGAAACGAGAGATGTTTTAACTTCATCATGTCGTCATATCGCACAGCTCTAGTTTGTGCACCGAGTTCAGAGGAATGAGGCTCAGCGAGGTCATAAATGAGTTTCCTTTGATGTGCAAATGAAACCTAACATCTGTATGTCACAGGTATGTGCTGCGTTACACACAAACACACAACATCATGTTACAGACATGGACATCCGGCCCTGAACACACCGATCAAACTTCCCGAGGATCTAAAATCATCTTTTCCTTCGTGCAGTCATTAAATATGTGTGCACGGATCAGCTGATCCATGCTGACACACGTGGGTCATGTGACATGTGGATTTTTGGGACTTCTTTAACAGATAAATACATGCTGCGTTCAGGGTCCCGAGGAAAGCTGGGACACTCGAGGTTTTCCTGTGTTCCTGTCTTAGTTCCCCTGAACGCAGCATGCTGTCACAGGCTCGGTGTAGAAGCATATGAAGGTTATCACAGGGTTTAAATGAGCTGCTGTGGGCAGACAGGAAGCTGTGAAGGTTACCTGCTTTCTGCAGCAGCTCTCTGACCTGCTCTCGTCCTCCTCCTTCATTGTTGAACAGGTGAGTCCTCCCTGCGAACCTCTGCACCACCTGATGGAGAGGACCTGCTTCATCTTCAGAAACAAAGTCCTGCAGACTTTTGTCCTTTAAGGCGTCTCCTCCTGTGAACAGCAGGTAGCTGTTCTCAAACCGCCGAGGCCCGAGGACTCTGATCGCCGTCTCCACGGCACGCCGGTCCTCCTCGGTGAACCGACCGACTCTGACCACCACCAGGGACAGAAGAACAGGTGTGGAGGAACGGGGCAGGCCCAGGTAGTACTTTTCAATCAGCTCCTCTGATCCTAAAAGTCCCGGAGTGTCGATCACCGTGATCCGCTTCCCAAACCTCTGTCCCGTTTCCTCTCCGATTCCTGTCGTCACCGCTTTGAGGGAAGCCCTCGACTCAAACGCCGCTCGGCCTATGATGGTGTTTGCAGAAGCGCTTTTGCCCACAGCGGTGTTTCCCAGCAGGACGATGGAGAAACCTGGACCAGAACAGACAGAAGGAACACGATGAAGAGCAGTGACAGGTAAACAGCCCGTCTGCACTCACACTGCTGCTGCCTCACAATCAGCCTCATTACTCCACACAGCGACAGCCTGACGCAGCTACAGCCTCGTGGCTGAGTGCACGACGCCCTCTGAGGGCAAACGTGGGGCTCGTACTGATGTTATGATTATTACTCCTCATACTGAGGTGACGACAGTGATGTGTCCAAAACTGAACGGACTAAATGTGAACGGTTCTTATAGATTCACTGCTTCTGTCTAACAGTGATCCACCTGATCTCTGACCACCTGACCTCTGACCTGTTTCCAGCAGGTCAGAGGTCAGGATGACCGACCTGAACTCTCACCTGTCTGCCTGCCTCACCTGAGGAGAGCCTGGGCTTGTTTCTAACGTACCTTCTGCTTTGAATCCCAACAGCTCGCGGGTCCTGTGGCGTTCAGCCTTCCTCAGCAGCTCTCCCACTTGCCCCTTGTCTTTAGGCTCTTCATTGGTGAACAGATGATACCTGTCCCCAAACTTCTTAACGACGTCTTGGAGTGGGCTTCTCTTAGACTGGCTGATGTGATCCTGCAGTGACACGTTCAGCTCATCTCCACCTGTGAAGAGCAGGAAGCTGTTTGCCAGACCTTCATCGCCAAGGACTGTGATGGCTGCCTGCACAGCCTCCTCTTCCTCATCTGTGAAACGACCAGTTGTAACCAGCACCAGGAACAGCAGAGGGGTGGAGGACTGCAGGAGACCCTGGCAGCAGGTTTTCACTTTCTCTTTTGATCTTACAATTCCCGGAGTGTCGATCACTCGGATCAGCTTTCCTAAAATGGTTCCTGTTTCCTGTTGGATTCCCATCGTCATCGGTCCCCACCCTCCACTCAACTTAAACGCTGCTTGTCCTAAAATCGTGTTACCAGAAGCGCTCTTTCCCACTCCACTGCGTCCCATCAGGACGACGGTGAGATCAGGATCTGGAGACTGAGCCATTCCTGGACCCAGATGTTGATCCACCGACAGTCTTCTTCCTCCTCCTCAGGAAACACAGAGGTCAGAGTGATGAAGAGCAGTATAATCACAGTCCTGTGTCACACCTGAGTGTGTGAGTTCAAGCACAAACACACATAAGTGCACTCGTTCTTCATTTTAGTTGTTATGGAGCAGCGGCCCCCACCTCCCCGTGCAGTCAGCCTTCAGAGTGCAGGTATGCAGTCTCTGCCGTTGGTTTGCACTCCCCGTTTCAAATCAACCTGCAGAACAGGACGAACTGGTGCACACGGGCCCTCGGGTAAAACGGTGACAGTCGCAGTGAAAAGAGAAGGTGAGCTTTCCTGCTGCTGTCCTCACTCTCAGAGCATTAAATATGAGGCGAGACCCTTCTGAACTCTGTCCTCTCTGGAGGAGGCAGCTCGTGACTCCGTCCAAACTACTGTAATCCACCTCTGTAACCAGTAGGTTACAGGTTATGCTCTGGAATCTGAGTACTTTACACGTTTCCCTGTCAGCGCGCACCTGTATGACATTAACAAACCCGGACCGGTAACAACCGCAGCTGCAGCGCCAGGACCGCCCGGACCAGCGCTGGTCCCGGTCAGTCCCGGTCACTGTTGGACTCCTCTCCTCATCATCTTACGGGTCCGACACAGACCTCTCTTCGCTAGTGCGACGCTCTTCACTGTGGTCCGCGTCCCCACAGGACCGGAAACACAATAGCTCCTTCAAAATAAAACAACTTCTTAAACGGAACTCTTTAAAAACTTGCACGCAACATCAGCCCGCGATTTGCCGTGAATACTATTCTTCTAACTCAGGGGTGTCAAACATAAATAATTAGGCAATAGTTAAACAAATAAATAATGGAAAACTTCCCGTTTTCTTTAAACTATCCAGTATACCATATATCTTCTCTCTCTTTTTTTACAATCGATCTTTTTCTTACAGTTTAGGACCAAACAGTCATGCTGACACTACAGCAGCATTTCTTTACCGTGTAGACAAACTGAGACGTCATTTTAAAATTACGCTTCTTATTCTTCTTATATGAATTTATCCCACAGATTAAATGCATAGTTAGACTTTGTTACACTAACAGAAAGGGCAGTTTTACTGGTCCGGCCCACGTGAGATCAAAGTAAGTCAGTTTAAAATGAGTTTGGTGACAGACTGCAAGAGGTTGAAAGCAAAGAGCAGGTTTGAAAACATCCTTCTCCAGTGGTTTAGTAGGACAATATACATTAATCTCACCAACAATGAAAACCTTTATATATATAACATATTTTGGAGTTATTTAGTTGGACAGTAAATAACAAAACAGGATGACTGCTACCAAGCTCAAACATATTTAGTTCAGAACTAGAGAAGGTAAATACATTTACTGTGTATGGTTTAGTTAGTGTTGCTATGACAAGGTGTTGTGGCTGTGTAGCTCCTGTGAAAACTAAGGCCTCTAATCAGAAGTACCTGACTCCGTGGTATAATTCTCAAACACTTACCCTAAAGCAGATGACTCGTAATCACAAATCTAGAGGATCATCATTTAGCCTGGAGAAATAGTTTGCTGCTTTATAAGAAAGCCCTCCGCAAAGCCAGAACATCTTACTATTCATCACTGATTGAAGAAAATAAGAACAACCCCAGGTTTCTCTTCAGCTCTGTAGCCAGGCTGACAAACAGTC